GCGCTATCTACGACTATGTTGTTTCATGTTTCAACGAGAGACACTTGGTTAAACTTTGATTTATCACGCACTGTATGGATCAAGCTTTAAGCTAAGTAAAACAGCACAAACAACAGCTTCCATATTACTAGCTATTCAAGAAATGAATCGCAGCTACAAATGAATCAAACAAAAGCTTTTGGATGGCGAAATTTATAAAACTGTAGGACTGTTCAAATTATTGTCAGTTTGATGTTATGGTAAAAGCTAAGCAGCTAAAGCGAATTAAAATACCGGTCACTAAATACGAAGCCCATGGAAATATGATAATTCACAAAACTTACCGCTTCCACACATACGGCTTTACATTGGGCTCCATTAAAGTCATCTGTACAGCGAGCTAGTTCTTCAAAATTGACATCTTTGCTGAAGTAGTGTTTTGGTGAGAATAAATTAAGTAACTTACTCTACATTCATCTTACGGGAGTGGATCTGCATAATGCGGGCACGTGCTTCCTCATTTGGAGCAGGGAATTCGATTTTCCGATCAACTCGGCCACTTCGTAATAGTGCTGGGTCTAATATATCTACTCTATTTGTAGCTGCGATCACTTTGATATCATGATTTGGTTGAAAACCATCCAGTTGGTTAAGAAGTTCTAACATCGTTCGCTGTACCTCACGATCACCAGCTTTTTCACTATTGAAACGCTTTGTACCTAAAAATTAGGAAGAAACAAAAATAAATTCTAGCCTAGCATGATTCAGAAGCCTCAGTGAATTTCAAAGGACTGCTATCCTGATAATTTGAAGAAGTGTATATTTTAGATTAGAAATCAGATTTTGCTGTATGGGCTGATGACTATTTCCTTAAAATATTTATCTGGATTAACTTGTACCGCCCTCCGTTTATATCTACTGAGAAGACTGCCTGACGAGATTGCTGTAGCGGTAGTAAGTGTTAAGAAACAGCAATCTGAACTGAGTAACAGGATATAAGTTGTAAAACAAATAACTAATTGCCTAATACTGCTAGCATCTAATGTAACCATTCGCACATACTTAGTATGTAAAATGAAGTCACTGAAAAGTATGTTGATGCTCAAATGATAAACGTTAAGATTTAATTATTTTCTAAGAGACAAAAAGTAGATTGAAATACAAACACTAAGATCACTGGTTTCATTGATGATAGTTTTCTGTGGCCAAGGAATAAAAGCTTTGCTAACTTCATAAAGCATATCAGTGGAACAGTCAGATTATAATTACGAATACTACGTTTTGATAATAATTTACAAATTGTTTGTTTAGTAATACTATAACTGTCAGTAATATTTAGCTTAGTGAAGAACACTTACGTGTATACTATTTTTGAAAACCTTTCCCAAAAATGCACTCATCATCTTTATTTCAATTTTACAATCATTTCGTTCAGTCAGTTACGGACAAGTCTGTCAGATTTTACCGACCTTCAGAGGGATACAGGCAACATATTTAAATCTAACTGGGACCAGAAACAACCTACTACCAGGTGCTTGAGGCTTAAATGAAAAACCAACGACAGTTCCTTCTAGCCACACAACAGGCTATGTCACAGGAAGTAAATCGACTACCTCGAAAATAGAGCCAAGAGATGTTTACACTTTTATGTGCTAGACAGACAGACAGACAGATACAACGCAGAACTTCGTACGTGCATACATCAGTTCGGGTTGCCATGTCCCATCAGCACAGAGACGCAAATGTCAGTTCAAATCCCATAGTGATAGAGATAGTAGAGGTATTAATGGTAATGAAGAATAGGGTTTGAAGATATTATTCAAGAAGTATAATTCAGTGAGATAAGGTTAGAAAGACAAAGGTAGAGGTGCTGACGAATCCAGAAGATTAGGATTTGAGAGAGCACAACCAATGGATGCACTTTCTCCATTGCACACGATGTTGAGCCATGTCGTTCAAGGTCTCTAACCATCGGTGACTATCGTCTCGCGGACCCCAACCAGGTAGCCTACATCTACCAACATGACTCAGTCCACTTGTCAGTGACTTCATGCATTTCTGCCATGTTTTGGTCTGGCCGCCCCTAGCTTTCTTCCAATCTACTCCTACACTGCAAAACAGCTCGTCGCGGCAGTCAGTGGTTAGCCATACGTAACACATGTACCAACCACCTCAACTGATGAAGTTTCACTACTTCATTTATTGATTTGCCGTCCCTACCTAGAACTCGTTTCCTAACGACAGCATCGCTTATACGATTGTCCCATGATACACGAGCAATACTTCGGAGACATCGATGATCGAAGACTAGTAACCTACGACAGTCCTCTACTCTTAACGGCCAAGTCTCGCATCCGTACAGTAGGACGGAGCGAACTGCTGCACCGTACACTCGTCCTTTAGTCAGCAAACGGGTATCTCGCCTGCGCGATAGGTGACGCAGGTTGGCAAAAGCCTTCTGTATCCGAGCTGAGATTTCGTCAGTCACCAGGCCATCGGCACTGATGAGACTCCCAAGATAAGTAAAGCGGTCTACACGTTCGACTACTTCACTCCCTATCACCAGTTGAGGTGGCGATGAAACCCAATCTTGAAGCAACATTTCGCTTTGCGAGGGGGGAAACCGCATCCCGAACATGCTTGCAATTTTGCTTAGGGTGGTCAGAAGACTGCATTTTGTCAGCGTCTTCACCGAATAGAACTATGTCATGAAAAAGAGCTCGATTGCAAGAACATGACATTAAGCCATTCAAGATATGATAAAATATTAGGCGAAATAAATTATTAGCCATAAAACGATGAAGAAATGGGTGTCTTTGGATAAGGTTTCTGAACATATCTGTAGACCAGAAGACAAAAACGTCGTGACTTCTAACTAAACAAACAGACGTGTCAGATGTTATTAAGTGATAGAATTTGAAATTGAGGAAAGAGCGAGTGAGGGAACAATTAGTTCAAACTGGAGGAATGAAATCTCTGATTTGGCAAAAACCCCGTGAAAAAAAATTCGAATGAACTACAGAAACAACACCTATGTTGGGTCTGTTGAACTTTTAAATTTGTAACGCTTACCGATAGCATCAAGTTCGTCAATGAAAATAATTGCTGGGGCTTTTTCTTTAGCCAATTGGAAGGCATCTCTAACCAGTTTGGCACCGTCTCCAATGAACATTTGCACTAGCTGAGGACCAGCAAGTTTGAGAAATGTGGATTTAGTTTGAGCTGCGCATGCACGGGCTAGGAGTGTTTTTCCAGTTCCTGGAGGACCATACAATAAAACTCCTTTTGGTGGCTGGATACCCAGTGCTTCAAAACGATCACGATGCGTCATAGGGAGCACAACTGCTTCAATTAATTCCTTAAAAAAATTAATTTGGAGAAATTGATTTTACTTGTATCTGCTTGTCGAGGCCACCAATGTCACTGTATCTCTCAGTTGGGCGCTCATCAACTTCCATAGCCTTTACTCGAGAGTCGAACTCCGGTGGAAGTTTTTCAAGGATCAGATATGAATCTTTATGTACTCCAACTAAGTCACCTGGTTTTAACTCTTCTGGAGGCACAAGGCCAATAACAGGGAGGAAATAGGTTTGCCTAGTACTTGTCTTGATAACTGCACATTTCCCCTTGCGCTGAGAATCAAGATCAACATTTGCTCCCTCTTCTACTTCATCCTCTTGAGGTTCTACATCAAGCAGCTAAGGGGATTAAAATTAAAAGAATGGTACTTCGACGACAGTAGCCACTAGATATGGGAGTGCTTTATTCAATTTTATTTTGCTCTTGCTATCCTTAACTTTTGTCTGTTTCGTGTTTATTTCATGATTGACGTGTTTCAACTCAGACTGCATAAACTAAACAACTTCAAGAAATGATATGTTGATTTACACGAATTTCAGAATCAAGCAGCCTTGCTCTGCTTGTCAGCTCTTCGGTGGACATCCTCATAACTTCTTCCACCATAGCTTCCTGAATCAAAAACATTAGAACTCGTTAGAGTACTTACGTCTACATCATCCCAAACAGGTCTTTCTAGAGTAGAGGTCATGACTGTTCAAAGTGTCTGAACCTTGCGGTCAACGTGAAGGTCGGAGTGTGATTTAAGCAAACAAGTTGCCTTTGACAGTAAAGAAAGAACTTTCAGTCAGTAAACTCCCTTGTCGGGTACTAAAGGATCAAGGATACTTATAAGTAGGAGTCCAGATTTATGAAATTAGCAAAAATAAAAACTAGAGTCTAATTAATCATTGTTAATTCTCGTATTTTGTGGTTCTACATGAAACCCTAATTCATTTTCAATATTTCTGAGGGGCGTACTGTTACTGAACGTTCAGTTGCCAAAGTCCAGTCAACTACTACTTGATACGACAAGTGAAATCGCTCGCGCAACTCCTTTGGTTTTGCATAAGATGTTCTGGGAACCTTACTAATTTTCCAGAACGCGTAGTTCGAGGTTGCTTTTCGGAAACCAACTAACTTTAGTTCTGGTCTTTACAGGCTGGAGATTGTATCTTAGCAATGGGGGCCATTTCGTTCTCTTGTATGTTGCGGAGTTCGACAGGGAAAGGATTTCCATCCTAGCAGACATCTTTCAGCCAGCCAATGCAGATACTGTGTTTGATTTCCGTACCTATGAATTGTATAGTACTTGGGTTCGCGACGAAGAACATTGTAAGTTCCTCCGTATACGACCTCCAGTAGTCCACTACGTAAGTCTCAGTGTACGAGGGCATGTGTACTAAGTTGTAAGGTGGGTTGGACGATTACATCGGTAGCTTGAGGTCGAGTAGAAACAGGTTTAACTGAGTCCATTGTGTACGTAGACCTGATTATATGAGAGTTTCGATCTACATCTGTTGAGACAAATGAAAGATGGGCGAATCGAGGAGTATAGTGCTGTAGACGAGTTTGTCTGCAGTTCATCCAACGTCGGCTTCCGATGAATTGAGATTTCTGACCGGTAGGGCGTCAGTCTATTGTGATACGTATGCAACTGAAAGGCTTTCAACTGTGGGTGGAAACTTTCTACCGAATCGTTAACTTGCGAATGGTCTTTCGGAGTTATGTTTTCCTATAAGCATAGTATAACATTGAAAATGTTCACAGTCTGCATTAATGGTTGAAGGGCAACCGAAGACGTGACCGGCTGTTTCGGAAGTAATGTCGTTGAAAGATACGGCTTCTGGTCATAGTCGAAACCATTCACAGTCGTCAAAGGTAAAAGTATACTTCTGAATCCAATTGAGGTCTCACCGGCCCAACCAGTCAAGACGAATGTGTATGAAACGAGAATCAGAAGTAGAGAAGGTACGTGAGGGACAGTAGTTATGCCTAATTACTTTAGATTTCCGGTAGTCTACACTGGAGCGAGCCCATTTCATCATGTCTTTTACTATAAGAGGCCAGCAAAACCATTTCGCTGTCAGCTGGATAGTCGATCGGACATCTGTGTGGTAAAGTTTGTACAACGTATTAAAGCTATTACCCCTAGACGTGTCAAAAAGTAAGGTTTTCTTATCTGTTCCCGTGCGTTTGATGCTTTTTTTCAAAACTATCGATAATAACTCGTGCTGAAGATCAGCTTCTTCCTTTTTAAGCTGAGCAAGTTCGAGAAGGCTGATTGTTTGGAAACTGTTTACGGATGTTATGTGAAACTAGGCGTCTGGGGAGTGAAGTTTCGGCATTCCAGTGAGTTTGAAGTGTCGCACATCACAATACATTGTCAAGAGAGTATACTTTTTACTTACCTACGCCTGTTACCCCTAATGGAGTATAGGCCGCCCACCAGTTTTCTCCAACCAACTATGTCCGACGCTTCCCTCTCCAGTTCTGTCCAATGTTTGTTCATTCTTCTCATATCTTTCTCTATTTCTCGGCGTAGTGTGTTCCTTGGCCTTCCTCTTTTCCTTTGCCTTGAGGGTTCCATGTGAGGGCTTGTCTCGTGAAGCAGTTAGGTGCTTTCCGCAGTGTGTGTCCTATCCACTTCCACCGCTTCTTCCTCATTTCCTCCTCCACTGGAATCTGGTTTGTTCTCTCCCACAGTAAGTTGTTGCTGATCGTGTCTGGCCAACGAATACGAAGTATTTTGCGTAGACAACTGTTAATAAACACTTGTACCTTCTGGATGATGGCTTTGGTAGTTCTCCAAGTTTCCGCTCCATACAGTATAACTGTCTTGACATTTGTATTGAAAATCCTGATTTTGGTTTTGGTTGAAAGTTGTTTGGAGTTCCAGATATTTTTCAACTGTAGAAATGCAGCCCTTGCTTTTGCCGATCCGCGCCCTCACATCTGCATCAGATCCACCTTTCTCGTCGATGATGCTGCTCAGATATGTAAAAATGTTGACGTCCTCGAAAGCATCTCCATCATGAGTGATTTGGTTGGTGCATGTTGTGTTGCGTCGGAGAATTTCGCTTTTTCCTTTATGTATGTTGAGACCTACTGCTGCTGAGGCTGTTGCTACAATGGTCGTCTTCTCTTGCATTTGTTGTTGAGTGTGCGATAGAAGAGCCAGGTCATCTGCGAACTCCAGATCGTCCAGCTGCGTCCTAACTGTCCAGTTGATACCGTGCTTCCCTCCAGACGTCGACGTCTTCATAATCCAGTCGGTAACCAGGAGAAAGAGAAAGGGTGAGAGTAAGCAACCTTGCCTGACACCGGTCTTCACCTCGAAAGAGTCGGTTAGCTGTCCTCCGTGCACAATTTTGCAGTTGAATCCATCATAAGAGTTCCGTATGATGTCGACTATTTTCTCAGGCACACCGTAGTGTCGAAGAAGCCTCCACAGTGTTTTCCTATCCACGCTATCGAATGCTTTCTCGTAGTCGATGAAGTTGATGTAGAGTGGTGAGTTCCGTTCAATTGATTGTTCGACGATGATCCGTAATGTTGCAATTTGGTCAGTACACGATCGATCCTTACGTAATCTGGCCTGTTGATCTCGAAGTTGGGCGTCTACGAAGTCCTTCATTCTGTTTAACAATACCCTGTCGAAGACTTTGCCTGGTATTGAAAGAAGAGTGATGCCTCTGTAGTTCTCACACTTGCTGAGATCGCCTTTCTTCGGTATTTTGATGAGGTATCCTGCTTTCCAATCTGATGGTACTTGTTCCTCATCCCAAATCTTCTTGAAGAGGATGTAAAATATTTTCGCAGTTTCTCCCACATCTGCTTTCATTGCCTCTGCTGGAATGTTGTCTGGTCCTGCTGCTTTGCCGCACTTGATTTGTCTGATGGCCATACTGACCTCCTCAATCGTAGGTGCGCCAATATTAATTGGGAGGTCCGTGGATGCTGCTTCGATGTTGGGTGGGTTCAGTGGAGCTGGTCGATTCAATAGTTCCTTAAAGTGCTCTACCCACCTATTTCGCTGTTGTTCAGTGTTGCTGATTACTTTGCCTTCCTTGCTTTTCACTGGTCGTCCTGGTTTACGATAGTTCCCGGCGAGCTTCTTTGTTGTTTCGTACAATTGTCTCATGTTTCCTTCTCTTGCAGCCTTTTCCGCCGTCATTGCTAGATCTTCCACATATTTTCGTTTGTCAGCTCTGATGCTCTTCTTCACTTCCCTGTTTGCTTCTGTGTACTCGGCTTGCGCCCTAACTTTCTCTGCTCTTGTTCGGCTGACATTCACTGCTGTCTTTTTGTTCCTCCTTTCTTCAATTTTTTCAAGAGTACCAACAGAGATCCATTCCTTGTGATGGTGCTTCTTGCGACCAAGGACCTCCTGACATGTTGAAGTGATTGCCTCCTTGATCCCTTTCCAATTGTTCTCCAATGTTGCTTCCTCTCCATTGAGTAGATCCTGAAAGGCCTGGAACCTATTGGTGAGGGCTATCTTGAATTCGTTGAGTTTTACGGTATCCCGAAGAAAGGCCGTATTAAACTTCTGTGATGTTGTCTGCCCCGTTGTCCAGTGCTTCTTTAGCTTCAGTTTCATTTTGGCGATTAGTAAATGGCTATATCAGCTCCTCTCCTGGTTCTCACATCCTCCATAGTCCTTCTGAACGTTTTGTTGATACAGATATGATCAATCTGGTTTTGAGTAGTGTGATCCGGTGAAATCCATGTAGCTTTGTGTATGCGTTTGTGCGGGAATATTGTGCCACCAATGACCAGTTTGTTGAAGGCAAATAGCTCTCACCGTTTTCGTTCCTGTTTCCCAGACCATGTCGTCCCATGATGTCTTCATATCCAGTGTTGTCCATGCCAACCTTGGCATTCAGGTCTCCCATAAGAATCGTCAAATCCTTTGGTGAACATTTCTCGACGATTGACTGCAGCCTTTCGTAGAATTGATCTTTATCGTCGTCATTGTAGTCATTGGTAGGTGCATAACATTGGATGACGTTCATTGTAATGTCCTCTTTGTTTGTTTTGAAGGATGCTTTGATGATCCTAGGTCCATGAGATTCCCATCCTATCAGTGCCTTTTGTGCATGTTTGGACAGCATCAGTGCAACTCCTTGTGTATGTGAAGCGTTTTCCTCCTCATGACCAGAGTATAACAGCAGTTCCCCTGAAGCTAGTCTCAGTTGTCCTACTTGTTTCCAATGTGTTTCACTGATTCCAAGCACCTCGAGGTTGTATCTTTTCATTTCTGCCGCAACTTGAAATAGTCTTCCAGTCTCCCACAATGTACGAACGTTCCATGTACCTAAAAAAATGGTTGCTCTGGTTGTCAGAAGGGGCATCAGCCCCGTGACTTCCGAGGGAACTCGGCTTTCATCACGAGACGTCATAATTCTTCTTCCAACTCCCAGGGCAGAGTTAAAATGGTTTGAATTATTTTTTCTGGTTAGCGATTTTTTGGCAAGTGAGGTCGCCAACCCCATGTCCAACCCTCCTCCTTTATCCGGGCTTGGGACCGGCAGTAGCCCCTAAGGTTCTACTGGCGGAGTTCAAGGGATTATAGCGAGAATAAATCTACTATTTGCGAGATTGCTAGGCGTAATCCCGTTAGATCCAGAAATCAGAAAGAAGACTATAACTGGATGAAGAGGTGTATTGATTCGTGTTTTCGTGATATCGAAATGATATCAAGATCGGAATAAATAAGCAGCTAACAATCACGGAGGAGAAACGAGGAATGGGAGTA